TCAGTGACTATTTGGAATGGGCGGGAGGGGAGGAGGGGCGGGCCCAGCCGCTCATTGGCCCTTCGGCCTGTCACTACCCTCGCATTCTCCGCCCCCTCTCCGCTGTGGTGACGCAGGAGGCCGGCTGCTGTGCAGCTCGTATTCAACATGGCGGCGCGGGAGGAAGGGGAGCGCGGCGGGGCTGTGGTCCATTAAATTGCCGGCTGTGAGCCCTGAGCGAGGTTTGTCTCTCCGTGGCGGAACTGAATCAGGGACGTGTCCTGTGCACCGCCGGGAGAAGTTCACCTTACTTCCGTGTCCTCCCTTTCCCCCCGGTGCTCGCGTAACTCCTTGCCGGGCCCTAGGATTCCCTCAGTGGGTGAAACTCCAGGCCTATCCCCGGGGGCAGGGCCCTGAGCCAGCCTCTCCCCCAGGCTGTCAGGACGGTGTCTGGTCTACATCTGTGACTCCCGCATCGCTCCCACCTGTCAGATTGTCTCACCTGCTCCGCCTGTGCTGCCCATCGCTGGGCTTGGATACTGGCACCTGGGCAGCCTGCTGGATGTGACCCCCCGGAAGCTGGACCACTATCCCTCATCAGTCTGCACTGCACCGAGGCATGTCGGGGTGTTGGTGTACATTTTCCTGAGTCTGTGCATGATTTGGCAAGAATCAGTCTGGCAGATGTTGCTTTCTGCACTGTTCCTAGCAATGAATTAAGAATTGGACCCCTTCAAATCCTGTGGCTCTTAATGGTGGACCGAAATCACTTTCAAGTGCACCTGTCATCTCTCTGACTGGCCTGGGGGCCACTGATTGCCCCCCTGCGGATTGAAGTTCTCCGGGGCGTAGCTGCATGATTTGGACACGGGCACTGAGTAACCGCTGAGCTGACTGATGTTGCTTCCAGTGATGGATTGAAAATTGGATACCTTAAACTCAAGACGGGTGGTTGTTGATAGTGGATCCACTTTGAAGTGCATTGGTCATTGCTCTGACTGGTCTGCCTGCCCTGGATTGCCGCAGGAGATTGACTTTTGTTTTTGGGAGGGGGGGGTGCATGATTGGGACACTGGTGCACCACCCAGCTGGCGAATGTTGCTTTGTGATGATGCATTGAATGCTGGATAACTTAAAACCAAGACCGTCTGCTGCTGCTCTTTTATGGGACCATTATGGGGTATTGGCTGTGGAACTGGAAGGATAGTATACAGACTGGCCCACTATCCTGTTGACCCGAATGTGTTATGAATTGGTAACGCATAACCCTCCGCAGTGATATTTCCAGAGGTTTGGTAGCTCCCAGCGACTGGTGGCCTGGATCGGGGATTACTGACCCCCTTTTGTTTCCAGTTGGATTGACCCTCCGCCACAGCTGGCCCAGATGCCTTCAGCCTTTGCGATTTTCACTTGCCGCCCAAATTCACATCCTTTCCAGGAGCGACATGTCTACTTGGACGAGCCGGTCAAGATCGGCCGCTCGGTGGCTCGATGTCGCCCCGCACAGAATAATGCCACCTTTGACTGCAAGGTGCTCTCCAGGAACCATGCACTTGTATGGTTCGATCACAAGACTGGCAAGGTAATCACCGGATTGTGGTTAGATATCGTTTACTAGTGATTTGCATAATGTTCCTATGGGGTTGTGATGACGTCTGGCAGCTGGTAAGAGTCACTTCTGGTGGCAGTCTATTCTGGCTGTGTGTAGGTCACAGACCCCTTTCCTTGTCTTCAGAGAAGGGAGATTCTATTTTCTTAAAATGGAAATGTATGTACTCCTGTGATCGTATAGATTTACACTTCCAGCTGCTACCACAGACCACACTAGAGGCCTGGAATACAAATACTATTCCTGTCATTGTGATCGCTTCTCTTCTCTCTTTCAAGTGCATGTTGACAAATCTGATGGTTGGCCCTCTTGTGGGGACCACAAACACTCCAAGTTGATTCTGGGGCATAAGACTGTGTGTTTTGTTTTGCAGGTGTTACATAATGTGATTAAAGGATGTGTATGTTTATATTCTTATGGGCAGTCAGTTTGATCCTGTAGTTAGGCTCCTAGTAACTAGATCAGTCTAAAGCTGCCCATACTCTGTTCTATTTCTTTTTCCATTCAACCCGTGGGCTGAAAGGAAAACAATAGAACAGATTCCTCCATCTACGAGCATTGATAAAGGTATTCTTCATGGTTTGTTTAGAATTCTGACAGCGGCTGCCTACCGCTGTCAGACTACACGAACAGAGCCGGCAGCACATTGGCTGTCTGCCCTGTTCTTTCAAAGATTTTCTGACTGGCTCCTTCGATTTAGATGATCGGGATGCCAGCTGAAAGGCTGTTGACAGTGGCACCTACTGTGTGAGAACCAGCTGAAATTCGCACATTGTGTCACCTTAAGCTTGGGGTCAGTGGAACTCCTAGGGTTCCTACTGAGGTTTAGGGGTTCTGTGGAACTCTAGGGATCCCTCAGATTTGTAGTGTTCCTCCTGAGGTTACATGGGGTTCCTTGGACTTTGTGTTCCTCCTGAGGTTATTAACTGTTTCTAGGGTTCCTTCTGAAGTTTAGGGATCCCTTGGATTTGTAGGGTTCCTCCTGAGGTTATTAGCTGTTTCTAGGGTTCCTTCTAAAGTTTAGGGATCCCTTGGATTTGTCGGATTACTCCTGCTCCTTATAGAGCAGGAGGGTGTAAAACACGGAGGACATATTTATGCTAGGCAATACATTTTATTTAATTGTATAAAACCTTCTTCAAATTAGTGATTATGCTAATGTATAGTGATCTGTAGATATCATTTTTTTTAGTAGAGTTCCCCCAGACCTTAAAAATACTTTAAAGGTTCCCTTGTGGTTAAAAGGTTGAGAGCCTGAACTAGGCAGTAATAGAAGCTGGATGTTTCTGACACAGGTAAAAGGGACGTAGGCTAACCTGTATTAGGTTTATTTGTTTTGCTTTATTTTAATAATGGGAAATAGGAGAATTATTTCGGTTTAGACAAGGTTGTACCCAATTGTAAACATCATCATTTTATCTTCTGCAAACTGTATTTGCAGTTCTTTCAGTGACAGCTTGAGCTTTAGTTTGCCTCACATAGGCCGGTATTTCTGTAGCACTTTTCTCCAGTGATGTCCTTGAACTTACACAATTCAGTGTTGGATGGTAGTTTATTTGGGACTATCATGGATTTTACATGAAAACAATTAAATATGTCCTTGTACGTATGTGTTTTTTGTTTATTTTTCCGCCTAGCAACTCTTTTCTTGCTGTTCCTTTTTTCTTATGCAACTTAAAAAGCAAGGCTGACCATACTCTGATTTTCCTCGTTCAGTTCCATTGGCTGAACGTGAAAAAATGATTGCTTCTCCCATGGATGCAAAACAGCATGCAGGGGGAATCCCCCCTTGCTGGCTATTTGATTCTGACCTATGCCGGTGTGCTGATGTAAGAATGCCTAAACTCTAACTGCAGCTTATTGGTTACTGTCTGGCTGAGAATTTTTGGATGGGCTCCTTTTGATAAAATTGATTGAAAAATGAAATATTGTTGAATGAAGGGATACCGACTGGCCACACACTGGCTGATATTTGACCAGCGTAACAGAAGTTGGTTGCTAAGGGCAATATACATTTATATGAGAGGACTAGTGTTTTATGCTCCCCTCCACCCCCTTCTT